ATATTACGAGTTTAAAGTCGTAATATTACGAGTTTAAAGTCATAATATTATGAGAAAAGCGTCATAATGTAGCCTTTATGAAAAAGCATGCAGTTATCACTGCATTAAAATGACGAATGTTGAGCAACTTGTCAAGTTCTTTAGTATTGCTATAAATAAATAGTCTTTTAGCACATTAGCATCAAATTATCAGTAGCAGGACATGGAACTTGTGCAAACAACTATAAACTGAAGCCGCATTGTAATTAATGGAAGCATTGCTGGATTTAGTCGTCACATAGTTAATTTGGATGAAAGTGTATTAATCTAACAGTGACCCAAGTCATTGCGGAATACTTTATAAACACAGACACACATGGCTGTACGGCCGGTGTGAGGAAAATGAGGAACGGGAAATAGACAAGTCGTGATTATGACTTTTTCTTGTAAATATTACGACTTTAATCTTGTAATATTATGAATTTATTCTCATAAAATTATGACTTTAACCGCGCAGTAATAATAAAAAAAATATCATATTGTGTCTCTAATACTCCGTCGTATGTTATGTCATTCCCTCATCTAAAACATCCCCAGAGTGTTGCTTTGACAAAATCATTGTGTTAGCCATGTGGAGCTGCCTAAACACTTGATGGTACAAAGCCCCGCCTATTTACCCAAAGCTCCTCCCTGAGCTCCCACCCCATAGAGCACCCCTCCCTCGTGCCTACCCCTCGGCAGTAGAAATATTTCTTTACAAATCACCGCGGCACAGCAAAGTGCATCTTAAAACTGGTGGATGTTCTTGATTGCCAGGGATCCATATTTATAGTTTCTTCACAAAACGTAGCTTAACATTGATGTTTATGTATGAGAGGATGACTGGGAGATCTGATACCAAGCTGAAATGTCTCGTAAGAGCCTCCGGACTCACTCCCGTTCCTCAGAAGATGAACTTCCCGGGTCCGACGTATCGTTGGAGGAAGGCTCAACTGGATGCTGAGCTGCCATTTTCCAAAACTGATATTCAAAAATGTTGCTTCTTTACAACAAAATTAAGAGAGGCTTTAAATAGCATGAAGTCTTGTGAAGACGTGCTGAAGTGGGAGTGTCAGAAACTGTAATTCAATTCGGTTTCTTTATATAGCACCAAGTCACAACAACTTGTGTCTCAGGGCACAAAAAAAAACAACAACAAATAAATAAATAAAACAATAAATCTAAAGAAGCTAGCAGACTGCGCCAAAGCTAAGTAGGAGGTCCTTAAAGAGATAGAGGTCAGTTTTAAYTTTAGATATTTTTGATGAATGCAGCATTTTCATATAGCAACTAGGGTAACACTTGGATGAGTATAGAATATAAATATGTGTGGAAAATACCACATTTGATCTGCTAACACTCTAAGTAATGAACCTTGCCCACCACTACTGTTCTGCAGTCAGTGCATCTCTAGTTTTAGGGTCTCCTCCATTATAAAGAACAAGAATAGTTTTAAAATGACACTAATGTATCAACTTGAATTGTTTTTAAAGCCTCCTGTCTGTTTAAGATGCTGCTTTGGTAAATTAATMCAACGTTTTCCTGTTTGTTTGCTTTTAGTTGAATTAATCTGCTGCTTACTGCTGAAAAAATCTGATCAGGTTTTATTCATCAGGATGTCCCTGGAAACGAAGGAGACTTTTTTTAAGTTGAGCAGAAAAGACAAAAATATTCAGATTTTCTTACRAAACTCTGAACTTTGTGATTGTTTTTTTTTTTTTCATCTATGCAAGCTGTTTGTTTCAGTTGATTGCAGTTTGTAGTTTGTGCCACTAGATGTCACTACATCCTACAGCAGGGTTTAAACTGAGCTCTGAGTCGTGTTTTTTTTATTATTATTTTAGATTTGTTTACAGACAGAACAGTGTTACTGTCAGCTGAAAGAAGCAGCTTTTAATAATAAACGGGGACAGTAATCATGGTGGAACCAGACTTGGATATTTGGTCATAATGGCACAAGTTCTCTTTTCATTTTTTCTTTTCAGCAGGTTATAAAAGCTCTCCTTTGTATTCAGATCCTTCAGGATTTACCGAAAACTTAAGAGGAAAAAATGGTTAAAAAT